CGCTCTTGACTCAAGCAGTTGTTCCTTGATGTATTGTTACAATACATTATTAACGAATGGGTAAACATAAAAAGTGAAATATCGCAAAAGTTGTTACGAAAGTGGCAAGGACCAATAATCTTGCTGCGCTGGTCATTTGGAAGAGTGTGTGTGTGTGTTGAATGTCTGTGTCATTGGGAATTGGGGTAGGGGATGTCGTGTGGTGTGGTGTGAGTGAAGGGTGAACGTGTGTGCGATTGGGGGGGGGGGGGGGGGGGTGGGGGGGGGGGGGGGGGGTCATGTTACTTCTGCTTTTGATTTGGTGACATATCGGTCTCTGTGAATATGTCTTTGATTTTATCTTTGGTTTTTTGAAGCTGCGATTTGTCCTTGTTCATAAAATGTTTTGTCCTGGCGTTTAACGCCACATAAAAAGCATAGAGTATATGCAAATGCTATGGAAGTGAATTTCCAGGTCATCACCTAGACAGGGCACCTATCACAAATATCATGTTAACTAAACACACTTTATTATTGAATCTCGGTGAAAATCTCTTTTTGAGAATAAAGAGCATGCTAGTCGCCAATAGACGTCAGTCAACAAACGCCGGATGACAGGTCCGTAACACTTTTAGTGCGGTCCTTCTGCTTCCGCTGTCATCGGACACTACAATCAATGGCTAGCCATTATTCACTAATCTAATAAGACGCTGTAGGGTCGACAGCCTGAGCTGACCTCCAATAAGGTACTGGGGGTGTATAGGCAACACGAATACCACTTGTGTTAGTTTAAGTTTATAAAATTTAATTTGCTCTTAGGTTAAAATAAAACTGTGAGATATTCAATAATCAATCGAGTGTTACACTTTTACCTCATTTTGCTAAAGTCATCATAGAATAATACAGATTTCTATAAAACATTGAATAGCGACTTCCGAAATGTTACTTTATGTTTACCGCATAGCAAAAGATATAGCTCAAACGACTTTTTTGCGGATATGCCTTCAATTGTTGTAATTGAAAACAGCAGTCATGTATACATGTAGTTTTATTATTTGGTTTGAGTTTTTTGGATGTTTACGTTTATTACTAGCAATGGTCAACGTGTCAGTAATGTATTCATGTATTGTGTCTTAAACAATTAAGAAATAGGAGTAAAACAAATATGATTAAGGTGCTGTATGAACTGTATAGTGACAATACATGCTACTCTGAGGCGACAGACTCGCCATGTCTACAGCGACTGGATCGAAGTTCTGCTCCAGGTCTTTTTCTAGCTGCAAAATGCTATAATGCGAAACATTAGACCGACTGTCTCTTTGCAGTAATTGGTATTAGGTATATGGAACAGGATGAATATTGTATTTAAAGATTACCTTATTTAATTCGGTTTCTCAAGAAGTGTGATTATATAAGAACTATTAGTAGATTTTCACAATTCCTACCAAATTTTGATCCAAATGTCGTTCCGAATTGTCATATTTGAAAACAAATTTATTAAATGCGATTTTGAAAAGAATATTCTTCCTATTACCAATAAATAACAACATTTTGGATATTGTTTTCTTTGCATTGTTATCATTTTTGACAGTGTGTGCTATTGTTGTAAACGTAGTGTTTGACGTGAAATGAAATTTCTGCACATCATAATGACAAAATGAGTATAATGGTGTATATTTTAGTTTTCTGTTTCCTCGCACTAATATAAACGCTACTGTACATGTCTATACTGTATGTGAGTTTCTAAGTAAACAATGTATCAGACGGACGACATTTGCATGCGTGTGTACTCTTTAAAAATGTCTACAGAACAGACGTGTAAACTGTCTCAGAATTTCTACACAATAAATGGGAAAGAGTGGCAGCCTTGTGTATGTGCTACATTATCTTATCTAAGTGTACGCTGTATTCGTATCTCCATATCTAACGTGAAGGACAGACCAATGACAAACTATCAATTAGTTGGAGGTTTCTAAGAAGACGTCCGGAGATGGATACGTTCTATACACTATTAGCGCCTGTCAACTATCTATCGCTCAGACAAACGCGCGATCAAAGTGGCTCAGGGTCTTCACGGCCTTTGTAGTTCCGTCAGAGCTGGATCTTTAAGTAAGAGAACCAGAATGGCTCCCGGTGCCATATTGATGAGAATTTGGTGGTGTTCATTCTGAGGCGACGCTAATTGGTAGTCCGAGATTTCCTTATTAGTCAGCACTCGATAGTATCCAAACTTAGGCCATGGAAAAGAAATAAGTGTTATTCGTTATTCCGTCATTCACGAAAAAGACACGATGTTCGTTCCGCGATGGCCAATTGGTTATAGCGTCTGACATTCTGACACTAGCCCTCCACCACTGGGTCGCGGGTTCGAAACCTACGTGGGGCAGTCGCCAGGTACTGGCCGTATGTCGGTGTTTTTTCTCCGGGAACTCCGGTTTTTCTCCACCACCAAAACCTGGCAAGTCCTTAAATGACCATAGCTGTTAAAAGGAAGTAAAACATAAACAAACAAAACACAAATCGTTACATCAAAATAACGTAGCCATGGCCTTCTACCGGATATATATAAAACCACGCTTATTTATTTCGGACAGTAGTCATCATATCATTATTTCCCATGTCATGATAAGAAACATTTTTTTCCCAATGTTATATCTTTCTTTAAAAGTCTAATTTTTAATTGTTTAATTTTATCCACAAATGTTGAAAGGGCGCTACAAAATTTCAGGGAAGGTTCCTGTCATTGAAAAGGTCAGCATTACTAAATGTAAAGTATTACATGTATATTCAATAAAGCAATGCAATTGTGAACTACATGATATATAAGAACGATAGTAAGCTGGAAACAGAAAAAAATGAATATTGGGTTAGAATTATTGGACTCTAGCTGTTCATACACGTATCGTCATCTTTGTTGAAGCTTTTCACTGTTTGTACAACTACAGGTCGTCTGGAACAGTTCAGTCAATCTAAACAAAAGAGGAGTGCTGGTAATTTGTATTTCATAATCAACAAAGTACATACTTTGAACTGTGTCACTACTCAAACGAGATAATGGTGGCCATTTAGGTTACAGCAAACGTAAACTTCGAGGACTAAGAAATCCACTAGCAGAGACTACCACCTGCTTTCGTGAAAGTTTAACTCCGTTTGAGGTTCGTTTGCACTTTCCGGTGATATTTGCTTTTATTTCCGTATTTGAAAAAATGCACCAAATAAAAATTAAAAGCAAAAAAAAGCAAATGCCCTTAATCTGCTCTCGTGTGATCAAATATGCATTAAATGAAGTTTGAAATCATGTTTTATGTGGACAACATAACAGTTCTAGTAACTGGCAATACCAGTTAGGATTATACACTGTGATAAGAATAAACATGTATATACTTTCGAATAAATCTTATTTGCAACAACCTTCAGACAGTGGTGAATTTCCTGTTAAAAAAAAATATACTGTGTACAGCTAATCATTTTACGTAGGATAACAATAATGTTAATATCTAAAAGAAAAATCGAATATCTCTTGTTTATTTAGAGACAGCATGGCACACGATAATGTCTCGATCAATATTTATGGCATCTTGCTGTTCTTCATGTCGAAAAGCGATAAGAGGGTCCAATAACGTTATATATTTAAAAAAAAAGAGAGAGCTGTAACTTACCATTTTATATTTTCCTTTCACAATTGAATTAGGTGAATCAATATCGAGTGTCATTGTGTTTACAGCGTTTGGCCATGCATCAATTTAGCGTCGCGTGAAAGACTGGAGGGTATACACACATATTTGAAATATAAAATTCTTTACCGCGATTATTGTTTTGATTTAGACGTTCTGAGAATCAAGGAGAGCTATTTATGTACATACATTTCATCTTAATAGGGTGCGTAGGTTTAGGGCAAGGTAAAGTTAGACAGTTATTCGTTATTCGTTATTCAAAATTTAAAAGGAAAATAGATTACAACAGATGCCGGTGCCCAATGTTTGGAAGGTTGCACGTTCATTAAGTGCCACAGAGTATTCACACGGAGTTTGATTACGTGTAAGATTGAAATAGGCATTCACCCCGACCTAAGACCAAGAACAAAGAATTTGAACAAAACATTTACACTAGTTCAGTAAAATTCCAATCTCATGTATTACCAATGTCTAGTTAATCGTTGAACATATACTCTGTATTTGAGACAAACACAAGCACATTTGTAATAAAACAATGGCCTCCATTTCTACGAGTTATTGAACTTTCATAAATGGATCTTTATTTATCACATATTGGAACTGTGAAAAAAGATAAAATGATGTGAATTCGTGACAGATGTACATGCACAATGCATGTGTGTTGGGGCCGAGGTAACTGCATGGTTGAGGTGTCAGAAGGTCTACGTCCACTAGCCCTAAAACACCGGGTCACGGGTGGTTTGCAAAATCTGGCTCGTACTTAAAAGGCAATACTCGTAGGACGCAATTCACAACCAAACCATTCCAATAAGTATAGCGTATATATGTTATATCTGTATATGCTCCGCATTGCTTCTATACTTATGTTGAAGGTAATGAGACTATAAATCTGAACTGATGGCCATGACGTCGTTATTATTGTTACGACATAAACACAACGCTTGAAAAAGGAGCCGTTGTTTGGCCTTTCCATTGATTACAAATCAGCTTAATTTGATTGAAGTACATTATTTTGACGTCACTTTATTACTGTTTATTTTGATCTTTAGTACATCTTTGTTTACAGTTGCGACGTTATCTAGTAATTGCTACTTTGGTTCTAGTTCATTAATGCGGTGTCACATTGACTGCTTAATCCATTTATTACACTTCATTTTGACGCCTCTTCCATCCATTTCTGCTTTGATTTCCAATTAATGTAAGTGAGTTGACGCGTTTGTATTTTTTTGTTTGCGTTCTTTTCTCCACTTTTCATTACCTTCTGCTCAAATAAACTTAGTACGGTTGGACACAGCATAACACATGTGTATTCCAAATATTTATTTACATTATCTTTCATGTTTGCAGGTTATCGTGAAATTGTAAAATTTCTCTTGAACGATTTCCGGAAAATCCAAGTGGACCAGCGGAACAAGCTTGGTTTCACTCCTCTGATGAAAGCTGCTATCCAAGGAAGAACTTCATGTGCCAAGCTGTTGCTTTACGCAGGTCAGGAAGTCTTCCTAAATACAGAGCTTACGTCAGCCCAATGACTTAAATGTATGCAGTATATAGTTGCTATTATATGGACAAAATGCGTTCTAAACTTATTTTTTTGAAGAAATATCAACAAGAATCCCGTGTAATAGGAATATGGTGACAGATGCTTTAAGATAGTGAATATTTAATGGCGTTTCCTTATAACCATTATAAATCGATTTCCTGCTTTAGGTATTTTCAAATACAATTTCCAGTAGAAATAATTATTTCGGAAATACTTGGGATTTACAAATGTCAGCGGTGATCGTATTTTAGTGCTTTTCGCACTTAACAGCTTGGAATCAATAATGATCGAGGTAGATATTATTGAAGTTGCTGTATATTGTTATCTAACGTAAATTTTGAAAGTGTTAAAATTCACCAATGGACTAAAAGTTAAATTGAATAATATGTTTAATTGTCGCGCGCTAAGAAACATGTAGACACGTTTAAAGTACCTACAGGTGAATGACAAAATCCTTGATATGTGGTATGAACGGAGAAATATTTTATTAATTTCAGGTGCAAATCCTAAGTTGCGGGACTGTGGGCGCAAGCTTTGTGCCGAGGAATGGGCTAGATTCACTGGAAGACAGGAGTGCGCAGACGAAATAGCCAAGTTTGTCAATACGAAAAGATTTTTATCGAACTCTCGTAACAAGAAAGTACACGAACGTTCCAACAGTGAACCAGACCTAACAAACACATGTAAAGGCGACAAGGAGTATATAGGTCCACAACGCAAAAAGTCCAAATCCCTCCGCAGGAAGCTGAAAAAGATGATTCAAGGACACAACACAAGTGCTCATTCAAATTCACCCACAATGCATTTTTCAGACAGCACCAAAATCGAAAATCCTTTTGCAATCATTGCACGATGTGTGTCGACTCCTATACTCCCTGGAGTTGTGACAAATAGTGGCTCACCCCCTGCCCTTAAACGTCCAGTAAGTGCAGAAAACATTCCGCGCGTGGAAATCACTTCACCAGCAGACCGGAAGTGACGTTTTATAATGTTTAAGTTTTATTACTATTTGCAGACCATTTGAGACGTCAGCATTGGATGATGTTTGACATATCTTATCTAATGTATCGACATCTCTATATATACTGTATCATTATTGTGATCAACATGACATGTAAAACAAACGCAACCAGGACTTAATGAAAAGAAATGTCTTCAATTTATTTTGCCGATACATTTTATCTGTAATGCTGCAGTTGCTATGTTAACATAAACTTTATTCATTTCTTACTGCGTTTACATTACAATATAATTCAATACCTTATTGATGAAATAGGATTTGGAATCAAAATTTACAATTTACTTAAATTCATCTCAAGTTGAAGAAATGCATATTTTATTTGAGGACCACATGCTTTATAATATACATTGTAATATTTGAGAAAAAAAATATGAAGCATTGCGTTAATTCTATATATGAGTAAAACGTAAAGTCTGGAGGTTGCTTAGATATACCTGTATACAATGAGGGTATATATAAACTTTATTTATTTTTTAACAATTATGAAAGAAGTTATTTCAACTCATATTATTCACTCTTGTTGGCCCGGATGTTGGCGCGTGGGGGTCTTAGTGTGGGAGGAAACCGGAGTACCCGGTGAAAACCCACGTGATCGGGCAGGTGACCCCAACCTTTTCACGTCCGATCGGGGAATGAGGGTAGACGATATAAGGATACGAAGAATGTCACTGAAAACGACAGGTGTGTATTGTAACAGATTATTTAAATCGTTTTGATCTAGTAGCTACTTTAAAACCAAAAGTGGGAATACCCTTAACTTCATTGACTGTTAGTGGGAATCGGAGTGCACTATTTAACGATAGTGGGGTGTACTATTTAACGATAGTGGGGTGTACCATTTAACGATAGCGATGTGTACCGTTTAACGATAGCGGGGTGTACCGTTTAACGATAGCAGGGTGTACCATTTAAAGATTGCGGGGTGTACCGTTTAACGATAGCGGGGTGTACAATTTAACGATAGCGGGTGTACCATTTGAGGAAAGCGGGATGTACCATTTGAGGAAAGCGAGTTGTACCGTTTAAACCATTTAACGATAGCGGGGTAACGATAGCGGAGTGTACCATTTAACGATAGCGGGGAGTACCATTTGTGGAAAGCGGGGTGTACCATTTGAGGAAAGCGAGGTGTACCGTTTAACGATAGCGGGGTGTACCGTTTAACAATAGCGGAGTGTATCGTTTAACGAAAGCGGGGTGTACCGTTTAACGATAGCGGAGTGTACCATTTAACGATAGCGGGGAGTACCATTTGTGGAAAGCGGGGTGTACCATTTGAGGAAAGCGGGATGTTCCATTTGAGGAAAGCGAGTTGTACCGTTTAACGATAGCGGGGTGTACCGTTTAACGATAGCAGGGTGTACCATTTAAAGATTGCGGGGTGTACCGTTTAACGATAGCGGGTGTACCATTTGAGGAAAGCGGGGTGTACCATTTGAGGAAAGCGAGTTGTACCGTTTAACGATAGCGCGGTGTACCGTTTAACGATAGCGGGTGTACCGTTTAACGATAGCGGGGTTTACCGTTTAACGATAGCGGGGTGTACCATTTGTGGAAAGCGAGTTGTACCGTTTAACGATAGCGCGGTGTACCGTTTAACGATAGCTAGTGTACCGTTTAACGAAAGCGGGGTGTACCATTTAACGATAGCGGGGTGTACCATTTGTGGAAAGCGGGGTGTACCATTTGAGGAAAGCGAAGTGTACCGTTTAACGATAGCGGGGTGTACCGTTTAACAATAGCGGAGTGTACCGTTTAACGAAAGCGGGGTGTACCGTTTAACGATAGCGGAGTGTTCAATTTAACTAAAGCGGGAGTACCATTTAACGATAGAGAGGTGAACCAATTGACGATAGCGGGGTGTACTATTTAACAATAGCGGGATGTACCATTTAATGATAGCGGGGTGTACCATTTAATGATAGCGGGGTGTGCCATTTAACGATAGCGGGTCGTGCCATTTAACGATAGCGGGTCGTGCCATTTAACGATAGCGGGTCGTGCCATTTAACGATAGCGGGTCGTGCCATTTAACAGCGGGGTGTACCATTTAACGATAGCGGGATGTACCATTTAACGATAGCGGGGTGAATTATTTAACAAGGTTTGATGCTTAAGCAGTATGATAAAATTGAACAGCATTTCCTCGCATTGAGCATTGGTTCACTTGAAATCTGTTATCACTTATTCCGTGTTTTCTTAATAAAATGTTACGTATTTCTCAATCTACTGGTGTTAAGTCATTTATATGTTAAAAATCATATTTGCAATTTTTATTTTGAATCAATACGTCTTATATTTAGAAGTCATTTCAACGATAAAAATGTATATCACATTAGGAACGAATCGGGGCAGTGTAACGAGATGTAACTGTGTTTCAACTGTCAAATATTAATTATCCAAAAAAACTTAATCGTTTTCAGTGATGAAGATAATTCATTTAGTGCTTGAGTGTAATATACTTCGACCCAATATAGGGGTAAGAGTATTGTGACAAATGAGACAATTCGACACAGATATGTTGTCAACATTTAAAGTTCAGTAAGGTAATACCAACACAATGGGATGTCGAGACCTTTAATGACAGGAGTTGATTTTTCCAAGTAAACTTCCGGTATTTGAAAATTCCAAGTAATCTGTTTTCACTACCTACATATTAAGGTGACAGGAGTGTAAGAAACTTCAGGTAGTTCTTCTTGAGCATTCTCATAATGGCAGCTCATGATACCAACTTGTGAACAACTTGAAAACGGATTTTCCCATATACCGGCATTTGGGAAAGTATTTTCTTAAACAAGAACGTCTGGTCGCGCCGGGTGACGCCCTTAACCGGAAATAATATCCACACAAAAGTGATCCGCATAAGAAAATAGTCCCTCATCAAATCAACATAAAGTTCCAACAAAGATATTGGGAGGATTACAACACCATTTTATCAGCATCATAACACAATATTTGAATGGGCATACGAATAAGTGTAAATGACGATAAGATTGTTTAAAATATATTTTCGACATTCTTTTAATGTTCACGGTATTACTCCGCGCAAATCTCCTATTTGTTTACGTTTGACACAGACCAAGGATTTGCGATCGATGACCATTGAGCCTAGAAGTTATTTGGATAATATTGCGTTACGTTGACCTTTTTTTAATGGCGAAATATATAAGACGATTAACAGTTTATCACACAGTATATTCAGTGTTTGTCGTTCGAACAATTTTGTCCTCACTCGCACGTAGATAAAATCTCGAGTTCACCAGCGGGGGCCTGTCTTTTTTTTCCAAGTGCTTTAGAATCCAACTCATTTGGTTATTTCCCATATACCAATGAATCCAAATGATTTGCATTCTGTAATGCACTTACTATTAAATCATATTATAATGTTTTATTACTCATTACTCATTGACAGTTATTGTTGTCTTTACAAGACAATCTTAAAACGGTTTTAAAACAGTTAATGCAACGTCAAACTCCGGTTGTTAAATTGAATCCTCTAGTTTGACGCATACATTTTGAACTAAACAAAACTTGCTGACTCTTTGTTAAGTTAGAATTTAAGAATTAAATTGCTAACATCTAAAGGGTAATGAAAAATGATATCCTCTTTTACAACCCTTAATGTTCAAACTGGAGAAAAAAATAATGAGAAAGCATATACAAAATGTATCAATACCAACCCTTAATACGAAAGAGCATTAAAGCTACCTAGAGAAAAGATACATTTTGTTTCCGTCGTCTTGCTTTCTCGAAATTTCGACTTAAGGTAATAGGATTGTGTCACCATTTCTCAGTAGAATTTCTTCAAATATTGTAGTTATATTGCTTTGAAGTAAAGAAAGTGTTCTGCCACAAAATAAGTATAGGTTGTCAGAATTTTAAGGATTTTAAATGTAAATTTATGTAAAAAAGGAGTGAATTTTGAAAAAAATGAAAGACACATTATTTTACAAAATAATGTCAATAAAAATGATACTGCCATAGATTAGTATTGCATTCATGTATATCAATTTAATAAATGCTGAAATTGTGTAAAATAAATTATCTATAAACGATTAAAAATTTACACTTTATGATAAAACTGTATACACATAGTATTTGCATGGAAGAGTTGTCTATCTTGAAAAACTATACAGTAGTGAAATAGGTAGCCGGTTTCCTGAGGTACAGACAAAATGGACACATGTGACTCATTGATAAAAAACAACTGAATTAATGCCTGAATTGCTTTAAAATACTTTAATATTGAGACAACAGACTGTTCTGTCAGTAATAAACATACAATATTCATCAGTTTAATATTAAACATTAGAATATGCGGAAATTGTGATACTGTTTCCCTACATTGGATTTTCAACTAGGGATGCATCAATACACTCCTATGACCTTAATACCTCAAATTGTCGACATCCTTACTCATAATGTCAAGATACTGAAATTTCCACTTTATAACTCGACATATTCCCCTAATGCTCTTCTGTAAATTAACGGATTTTTTAACATTGAGGCCGTTTTTACGTTAAGGATTGCTGTTTAGGACAGTATTCGCCTTAACCGCAGATATAAAACTTTTGAAAAACATTTCAATATCAATTAGGACATGTGAAAACATCAGGACGAACACATCAGTTTTCTCGGGAATGAAGTGTACATGCCGAAGATAAGGATTTAATGGATACAGATACGCTATTCTAAGCAATGGTCTATTATGTCACAGAGTTACCCGAGGGTTGTCGATGATCGCTTAGAAAATAGTACAGTTGTCTCCCTGTCTTGATTTCCGCCTACAATTATAGGGCTTTTAAGCATATGCAATGATCCCCGAAACCTGCAAACTTGTCACATCCTCAAAATCAGTTTAATGCCGTTTAATGACCTCTGTTGACGTCATAATGATTAACCTGTGACGTCACGAGGGTTGTTTGGCGAGGTTGTCTGGACTACGGGAGCAGTAACACACTGCGTGCGCAGTGTCAGGGGGGTTGGACAGCGGGAGCAGTAGACTGATCGTGTTGAGATAATTTTAGTTATAAAATGTTTATAGCATTAAAATGTAATTGGATTTTCATCATAGTTGTAATGTTTATTCGCTGGCGTTTTTCTTACATATTTCCTTTTATGTTGGTTTTTCGATTTATTCGGCTTACGTTAGATGGTATCTAGCTTACGGCGGCTTATGTTAGTTGATATCTATCCTAATTAATCAGCATGAAAAATTTATGAAAAATATCGATTTTTTCGTTAAAATATCTATAAATTAATAATTTAATTAATTTTATAAGTAAATACAAAATTTCTAAGAAAAAATAAAACTTTTTAATGTTTTTCTCTGTTTTTTTATTGTATGCAATGTCTTTGTAATAAACAAAAATCCTCACGGGAAAGGGAAGTAACTCCATACGTTTGTTTCCGGATATTTTGCTGTCTTTCTTATTTCGTTAAACAAGTTTGTACTTTTCACTTCCGGTTATGACGTCATCAAAAAATGGAAGCAGGATAACAACCGAGATCGGAATCGAGATAGACCGGGCATACCAAACAGGATAACTCCAACATAGCATGACTCTGAAAAAACAGGATGACTTCAAAACAGGATGACTCCAAAACAGGATGACTCCAAAACAGGATGACTCCAAAACAGGATGACTACAAAACAGAAAGACTGCAAAGACAGGACGACTCCTAAACACTAAATAGCGCCATACACGCGTATCAGCTCATTCAGCAGGAACAAAAGTTTATTTTTACGTTAAAATATCGAAAAATTAATAATAATAAAAAAAAAATGAAAAATATGAATAAAACTTGAATATACTTTATTTGTTTGAAAAAATAGAAAAAAATACTTAATTGGTAAGGAAAATATGAACAAAACTAAAAACTATACTTTATTTGTTTGAAAAAATGGAAAACAAAACTTAAGTTGTATTTTTTTTAATAAAACTTAAACAAATACAATATTTTCGGTGAAAAATATAATAATTTAAGCATATGAA